TTGGTTGTGAGCCTAGCCTTTAATGGCTGAGCCATCTCTCCAGCCTGAATTCTCACTACTTTATGAAAAATTTAAAGCTCCATTTTGAACTCATCATTGCATTTGGTTTTGCTAACACCTTGGTTATGAAGAAAATAACCTTCAGAAAACAGCCAATAGTAACAGATGCTTAGCATTGTAGTAAGTCTGGAATAAGAGAAAACATGTTGCTTATATTTCTAGGAAATTATTTTAAAAAGGCTCATCAAAAGAAAAACAAATTTTCAGCTAGGCCAGGTAATACAGGCTTATAACTCCAGCTGCTTTCGTGGATGAGTCTAAAGGATTCCAAATTCAAGGTCTTCTTAAGCATAAAGTAAGTATGCGACTACTCCAGGAAACTTGGTAAGATGTTGTCTTGATTTTTTTTTTTTTCTTCTGAGATAGTGTTTCTCTGTGTAACCCATCCTGGCTGTCCTGGAAATAATTCTCTAGACTATACTGACCTTGAACTCAGAGAGATCCACCTGTCTCTGCCTCCCAAATGCTGGGATTAAAGGCATGCACCACCACCTGGCCTGATCCTGCCTTGAAATAAAAGCACAAAGGCTGGGGATATAACTCAGGGGTAGAGTGCTTGCCTACTATGACTAAGGGTAGAATACTTACCTAGCATGAGCAAGGCTCCAGGTTTAGTCCCTAGCACCACACACAAACAACTAAATTAAAATGGAAACAACAACAAAAAAACAAGACAAAATAAGCTCTTGAAATCCCAGCACTTGAGAAGCCAAGGTAAACATGTTGCTATGAATTCAATTCCAGCCAAGGCAAAGTGAGTTCTAGGCCAGCATTGGTCCTGTCTCAGAATATGAATAAAAATCAAAATAAAAAATAAAACAAAAATGTATGTAACTTCTTTCCCAGTCTGGTTTCTATAGTCAAGTATGTGAAAATATTAAAATTAATTTCCTGATAACAAGATTTTTAAGGTTTTTCCTTTTGCCCATTATAATACAACAATGGTTGTCCCTTCACACTTATACCTTTTTATCTTAAATTTATTATTATTACTACTATGATTAAAAGTATTATCATAAGTGTGTGTTTACAGTATACACAGGGGACAATGTTTTGGAGTTGTCCTTTCACCTTTATTTCGGTGCTGGGGATTGAAATCTGGTTGTCAGCTTTGCAACAAGAGCTTTTACATATTGAGCCATCTTGGTATCTATCCATACTTACATCACCTTGAGTATTTGCCTTTTGTTGGATTTCTAAAAATGGACAGTTAAGAATATATATCCTTTTTATTCATTTGTGGAAATTATACAAGAGGGGTAATTTTTCTTTGAGAATCTGCTCAAATACTTTGTAAAAATGTTTTAAAAATTTATTATGTACAGTGTTCTGTTCACATGCATGCCTGCTCACCAGAAAAGCATCAGATTGCACTATAGATGGTTGTGAGCCACCATGTGGTTGCTGGGAATTGAAATCAGGACCTCTGCAAGAGCAGTCAATGCTCTTAACTTTTGAGCCATCTCTCCAGCCCCCTCTGCTCAAATACTTTAGCCTCCCTCATCTTCCTATTTCATTTATTTATTTATTTCTGAGAAATAGTCTAACTATGTTGCCCTGGCTGGCCCAGAACTCACTATGTAGATGAAGTTGATCTCAAACTCTCAGAGATCTACCTGTCTCTGCTTCCTGAGTACTGGGATTAAAGGTGTGTGCTACCAGACCTGGCCCTGAGTGGACTGATATTTATAGACAGGGTATTTTGTAGTACCCAGGCTGACCTTAAACTATTCATCCTACTTCATCCCCTGAGTGCTGGGACTACAGGTATATATGTGCCACTGTACCCAGTTCTTTCTGTGTAAGAGTTTCAGAAAGGCAAACTCGGCTTTTAATTCTTAAAACCTTTTTTCATTGTTTCACACATCCTGACAGTGCTGGGGAACAAACCTAGGATTTCCCTCATTGCCTAGATAAGCACTCTATCACTAAGTTCCACCTCTTAACCCTTAAACACTCGTTAGTAGGGAGTATAATAAGCCACTTTAGTCCAAATCTTATAATAAACAAAGGATTTATTATACTTCTCAGACTAATGTTAAAACCACTTAATTTAGCCGGGTGTTGTTGGTACAGACTTTAATTCCAGCACTCGGGAGGCAGAGGCAGGTGGATCTCTGTGAGTTTGAGACCAGCCTGGTCTACAAGATTTAGTTCCAGGACAGCCTGCAAAGCCATAGAAAAACCCTATCTTGAGAAGAGGAAAAAAACAACAACAACAACAACAAAAAAAACCCCAAAACAAACAAACAGAAACCCACTTAAGACAGTGATGTCATGTGACAATATTTATTTTGGTAGTTCAGAATATAAAAACTTTACAAAGAAAGTCTACTAATAATTCCTTTTAATCATATTTTGCTAAACACTACTATTCATACAGACAACAAATTATTCCAACTTTGATTTCTAACAGGGTGCTCATCCCACTTCTCACCTTTTCCAGATCAAGCTCTTTTAGGAGAATGCTTGCATTTTTATTTGCTTCTGCAGCCTGCTGGTCTTTAGCCTTCACAATTGTCTCAACACATTGGTGACACTTTTTCAGTAGTTCCTGTAGGCCAAAATACAGTTATATAAGTACAAAAATATTTAAAATAAAGGGTCCAATATAAGTGGAGCTGAATAGAAAGGTTCATAAGTTAAACCTTAAACAACTGAAAATTAGCTAAATCGAATTAAACTTTGAGTTCAGTCCTGCATCAATCTTTTATAAGAATGAAATACTTTTAACTTTTTTTCTTCTTGAGACAGCATCTCAGCCCAAACACGCTTTCAACTCACTAAACTGTTAAGGCTGGTTTTGACCTTGAGTTGCTGATAGCATGCAAGGTCCAGGGCAGAGCAGGAATGTTGGTGACAGTTCTCCACCAGAAGCCTGCAAAGCACTATTGTACCATGGAAACAAGCCAACAGAGTGGAGCTTTCAACTTCAATCCCAGTTTAATTTCTCTGTGTCCTACATACAGTTAAAGCATGGTCTTCAGCAATAAGGTTTTATACTCTAGTTCTGACATGTAACCAATAGCAGTAGCAATAACCTTTATGGTTTGTGGGGTCTCAGGGGCTTTCCTGGTCAACAATTCATTGGGAAGGAGCCTAACCTAGAATTAGTATTTTTATTCCTTACAGCCTCCAGGATATCTTTTTCAGCATATATAGAACATAATTTGATTTAAACTCTTTAACAGCTGTTTTTAAATTAATTTTATTAGTTCAAATTAGAAACAAAGCTGTTTCACATGTCAACCCCTTCTCCCTCTCCCTCCCCTCCCTCCAACCCCCAACAAGACCCCCAACTCATCCCCCCTCTGCTCCCCAGGGAGGGTAAGGCCCTCCATGGGGTTCCCCAAAGTCAGTCACATCATCCTGGGCAGGGCCTAAGCCCTCCCCCATGTGTCCAGGCTGAGAGAGCATCCCTCCATGTGGGATGGGCTCCCAAAGTCTGGAAACAACTTCTTAATTATACTTCTTGCCATGTAATACCAAAGAATGAAAATGTACTTCAATAACATAGTAAACTTACCTTATCTGTAATCGTTGCTATGTATCTCATGCATTCTATATCAGATGGAAACTGATTGACTTCCTTCACCAAATACTGAACAACTTTTACATGACCCTATAAAAAACAATAAAAACCACGAAAGGATCCTTTGAAATTTTATCCATCTTTAACAACTTAATGTGAAAGTTAACACTTTAAAATAGTCTACTAAATTCATACTTAAAATTATAAAAATATGGACACTGTTCAGTTTATAAACAGAAAAAGGTAAGTATAACATGCTCAAGGATATATGGTGGTAGGCTGGTCATGGTAGTATATGCCTTTAATTCCAACACTCAAGATAGATGAATGGATCTCTGTGACTTCAAAGCCAGCCTGGTTTACATAGTAAATTTTAGGACAGTCAGGGCTACATAAAAGATACCCTATCTCAAAAAAACAAAAGCAAGCAAGCAAAGAGTATAAGGTAGACAAGACATTAATTATCCCATTTCCCACAGAAAGCAGGAAAGTTATTGAAAATAGTATTTTATATAATAAATCTACTAATGAGGTAAAAATGGGCAATGTGAAATGAATCTAAGTATAAAGGGCACTAAGTCTGAAAACACCAATCTTCTAGGTTTAAAGCATTACTTGGGTTTCCCCTTACTAATAAACAAGGTAGTCTATGACATTTTTTTGAACTTCATGACTTGCATATAGATAAAATTCTTTTTCCCCAAGACAGGGTTTTTCTGTGTATCCCTGGCTATTTTGGAACTCACTCTGTAGACCTGGCTGGTCTCAAACTCAGAGATGCACCTGACTCTGCCTCCTCCTAAGTGCTGGGATTAAAGGTGTGCGCCCCCTGACTAATAAAACACTTTCTAAAAAATGCCCTTACTGGGGAATGAATGACAGGTAATAAAGACTAAGTACATCTACTTTATACAACAAAGCTTGCAAAGTTTCCCTTCCTATTAGGGTCCTAAAATATCCTCAAGAATATCTCAGGTTGGTGTGATGACTCAGCTGGTGAAGGCACTAGCCACAGAGCCTGACAATCAGAATATAACTCCCCAGGATCCACATAGAAGGAGAGAATGGAATTCTGCAGATTGATTCTGACTTCCATTCACATACTATCAGACCCACAGACAGACAGAGAGAAAGAAACACACAGAGACACACACACACACACACACACACACACACACACACACACACACACACACACACACACACACACACCAAAAGAACAGCAAAAGTAATCCCCACACAAACAGGCTTTTTTTGTTTTCTTCAAAATTTTTTAAAAGATTTATTTACTTATTATGTATATAGTGTTCTGTCTGTCTGTATACCTGCAGGCCAGAAGAGGGCACCAGATCTCATTACATGTGTTTGCTGGGAATTGAACTCAGGACCCTTTCCATCTCTCTAGCCCCCAACAAACAGGCTTCTTAACTATAACAGCAACAAAAAAGACATTAGTCTGTTTCTAGGGGAGACAAGAAAATTGAAAGTAGTTGCCTCTGGGATAAGAAATTAATTGAAAACAGATACTAGAGCATCTAGGGTTAGGAAAGTACCTTTTACCTTTATAGGGTATGAAGCACATGGTATATGCATTGAAACAGTCATTAAACTATATAAGATTTATGTTTCTTGCTCTAAATTAGATTTTAATTAAAAATTTAGTGGTTTTTTTTTGGGGGGGGTTGTTTTGAGGCAGGATTTCTCTGTATGAGCCTTGGCTGTCCTGTAACTCTTTCTATAGACCAGGCTGGCCTCTAACTCTTAAGAGATCTGCTTGCCTGTGCCCCCTTAGTGCTGGGATTAAACTCATGGTCTACCACCTCCTAGCAAAAGACTTTTATGTCCTAAAATATTAAGGGTGGAGAGATGGCTTAGTGTTTAAGAAAGATTGTATACAGTTCTTCAGGGGACCCAAGTGTTGTTCCTAGGATCTAGGATCTAAAGCCTCTGGCTTCCACTTGCATGCCCATGCACATACCCACACACAGATATGCACAACACATATATATACACAATTTAAAATAAAACATCTGTTACTTTAGTTTCATGGGATCCAATGTTCTCTTTAATTCTCCCTGCATACCAAGCATGCATACAGTGCACATATATGCATTATACATATAAAATAAACTTTTGTTTAAAAAAGTCTTAGCTGGGCGTTGGTGGTGCACGCCTTTAATCCCAGCACTTGGGAGGCAGAGGCAGGCAGATCTCTGTGAGTTCGAGGCCAGCCTGGTCTACAGAACGAGTTCCAGAACAACCTCCAAAGCAATACAGAGAAACTCTGTCTTGAAAAACCAAAAACCAAAAAAAAAAAAAAGTCTTACACTGGGCATGGTGGAACGTGCCTCTAAATTCAGCCCTTAAGAGGCAGAGGCTCTGTCAGTTCAAGGACACCCTTATCTACATTTTGGGTTCCAGGCCAGCCAGGGTTATACAGTTAAGACTTGTTTTCAAAAATACATAAAACTAAAATAAATAAGCAAAATAAAACCTTAAACTGTGAATAAACAGCAGGAAAATGATAGCAATATTTCTTAGCTCTCATGGGGTTGAAAATGATAAAAATATTTGCATGTAAGAGGACCTGAGTTGGAATGCCTTGCACCCAAATTAAAAGCCAGGCATGGTTACTCTTGCCTGGAACTCTATTGTTTGGATCAGGGACAACCTAGCCAGAATGGCAAGCTTCTGGTTCAGTGAAAAACCCTGTCTCAAGGCACTAAGGCAGAAACTAATAGAGTAAAACACCCAGAGTCTTGCTCTGACACACACACACACACACACACACACCATGAAATTAAGGAAAGCAATGTTTTTGTTTGTTTGAGATAGAGACTCATGTATTTCAGGGTGGCCTTTAACTTATTTTTATAGCCAAGGGTGGCCTGGAAGTCTGAAGTTCCAGAGTTTACTTCCCGAGTGCTGGGATTACAGGATGTGCCACCACACCTAGCAATAATACTGTTTGCTTATTTTTGTTTTGTTTTTAAAGACAGGGTATCACTCTGTCTCCCTGGCTGGCCTGGATCTCATGTATACCAGGTTGGCCTTGAATTCAGAGATCGTCCTGCCTCTGCTTTCCTGAGTGCTGGGATTAAGGCAGGAAACACCATGTCCAGCAATAAGCAGTGACTTTTTTTGTTTGTTTGTTTTGGAGGGATTTTCAAAACAGAATTTCACTTTGTAGCACTGACTGTCCTGAGACTTACTCTGTAGACTAGGCATTGAACTCACAGAGATCTTCCTTAGTGCTGGGGTTAAAGGCATGTGCCACCACTGTCTGTCAGCAGTGACTTTTATATGCAAATATGCTTAATTCCCTAGCATCAGTTTATATTTTGCACAAGATTTCAACCTATAATTGTTTTAAAAGTATTAAGTTTTATCTTTTCCTTATATGTCATATTACCTTTCGAAATGCTGACATAAGAGGTGTGATTTTTCGGTTGTCTGCTGCATCCACATCAGCACCTGCTTGCACTAGCAATTGTACTACATCAAAATGACCACCATTGGATGCCAGCCAAAGTGGTGTATTTCCCTTCTTGTTACGAACATCAATATGGGCTCCTCTATAAATAAAAAATATCAACAGTCTGTTTACTATAAGAGGCTGACATTTTATGTTTTGTTTTTCTTTAAGCATACAACAATTTGTTCTTAAAATGTTGTTAAAGTTACTTTTAAAGATTCACAGAAAGCAAAAGAGATCATTGGAGTTCTACATATCAACAGAAATTTACCCACCTGTTTATCAGGAGCTCACAGAATTTATAATGGCCTTTGTCTGCTGCTATTGTCAAAGCAGTGTCTCTTGAGGAAGGCACAGGAGGAGCATTGACATCTGCTCCTTTATCAAGGAGAACTCTTCCAACCTCTGCATAGCCCCCAGAAGCTGCTTCCATTAAGGGGGTAAGACCAGTCTGTTTAAATTAATAAAGAATACAATGAAATTACATAATTTCTTTAAAAGGATAAATTAATTCATATTTCAGGACATTTGATTTCTGATTTTCTCTCACAAAAGAACTAAATATTCTGTTTTTAATTATACTAAATTAGTTTTGTGGCAGCTCATGTAATCCTAATTCTTGGAGGTGGAATCAGAAGAATCAGGAGCTCAAGGTAATCTATCATGTAGACCACATGAAATCCTGTCTCAACAGCATCCCAAATAAATAAATACTTGAAAACATAAATCTTACTAAATAGCAAGTGAGAATTGTTAGAATTAATGAGGCATGCCAGAGTGCATTCAATTATAATCTTATGCAAGAAGGAAAGCAAAGCCAGGTGCAGAGGTATTTGAACTCGGCTCTCAGAATGCTGAGGCAGGAAGATTTGAGTTTTCGAGAGCTAGAATTACAGAGTCAGTTTGCTCATTCTCATTCCTATCCCTTTGAAAGAGTCTTACGTATATTGACCAGGCTGGCCTCAAACACAAAGTCTTCTTGCCCTAGCTTCTATAATGTTGGAATTTTAAGACTATGATACCATCCTTGGCCTCTGACACTTTTTAAGCCAGGCCTGGTGCCTGTAATCCATGCACTAGGGAGGTAGAGATAGGAGGCTGAGTTCTAGTCAAGCCTGAGTTACTGTCTCAAAAAAATCTCCAAACCAAAATGAAAGAAAACAAATACTAGTCTCCAAACAGTATGCGTCATTGCAAGGTTTTTAATAGGTGACTAGACCACAATAATACTTGAAATTAAAAAGGAAAAGGCTATCTTTTGACTGTCACATGACCACTGTACACACAAAATCACAGCAGCTGTGGCTATCTACACAGGACTGAACCATCAATATTAAATCGTGGATGGCAGAGGGGCTCATAAACCTCCACCCCTCCCTGAGAGTTAATGGTTTCTGAAAGAGAGGAACGCCTATTCCTCAGTGATGTAACCACTGGTAGGTAGTGTCCTTGCTCAAGTAGATAAACTCCCCTACCCTTGCTCATGG